AATGATATCCGAGAGATTTCTGTCCCTCCATTGATACTCTACGCAACTACCACTTTGACACTTCATAAAGTCCATAAAGAGATCGCAAAACGAATCCATATGAATCAAGCGGTTTAGTCCACATTTTCTGAAGCGACTCGATCGCTTTATATGATGAACAGATTTAATCAAGGCTTTTTCGCATTAATCAACACACATCAGTTGTGAGGTTCATTCTCGTGTGTTACGGAGCAGGTTTGAGCTTCTGTAACAGCCAATGAGATTTGTTCTCATGCATCAGGCAAGTACTGTTGAGCTTCTGTTTATGTCTGCTCATCATTGTAAATACATGAATAAAAGCCTAGATTAAATCTGTTCATCATTTAAAGCGATCGAGTCTCTTCAGAAAATTTGGACTAAACCGCTTGATTCATGTGGATTAGTTTTACGATCTCTTTATGGACTTTATGAAGTGTCAAAGTGGTAGTTGTATAGACTGTCAATGGAGGGACAGAAATCTCTCAGATTTCATTCAAATATCTTCATTTGTGTTTCGGAGATGAACGAAAGTCTTACGGGTTTGGAACGACACGAGGGAGAGTAAACGATGACACAATTATAATTTTTTGGGTGAACTGTCCCTTTAATACATGCATTGATGTGCCAGCCATGTTTAAACTTGACAGATGTGTGTGTATTGCTCTCAGATTCGTCCCCCAGCAGCAGTAGCACTCCAGTGTCCGGCTGCAGCTCTCCAAACGACAGTCTGCCCAATGAGAACGGAGTGCTGCCCGCCACCGCCAGCCTGTCCCATGAGGTAACAGTCCACCCCTCAGCCCAGTCTCGAAGGTGTATCTTGGCTTCCTTATAATGGGAAGCTCTGGTAATGCAATTATAAATCCTAGCAATTATGGAAATGGCTCATTGTGTAATGAAGTAGTCGGTGCAGTTTAAATGAGTTTAGCTTCTCCCTTTTTTTAAATTACAAACTTTTTTTTGGAGAGGACAAACTGAACACACACAGAGAGAGAGAGGCATGATGGGACAGTTCTTTAATATTCCTCTGGTGGGTGTTGTTTGTTTGGGGCGTTGGTTGAGAAAGCGAGCTCGACAGGGCTTGTTTCAGGAGGTTCCTGCTTCGCGCCGCCCTTTGGCATAATGACATGTTTTAAACAAAGACACTGGAGAAGGACAGCTGCAGGCAGCTGCCAGGACACCCAATCTCCCGTTTCCATCCCAAGCCTCCTCATCGCTTTATTACTCCATTTTTGGGCTTGCATAAATGCACAGCTCTCTGATGGGTCGCACACAGGAGCCTCGTCTGCTCGCACGCAAGAGTAGATCACTGAGAATTTTTAAACTTTTTTATTAATGGTCAGTATTTTCCCCATGGAAATTAATGTCTGGGGCAATTTCTGTTTTCCTTTCAAAATCCGTAGTCAACAAAATAGTATTATTTCTTCAACTGAATCAATTGAATTAAATTATCGGTAGGAACCAGTTCTCACTATTAACTAGTTGCTTATTAGCATGCATATCACTGACATATTGGCTGTTTATAAGTACTTATAAAGCACATATTAATGTCTTATTCTGACCATATTTTAGATCTCTTAATCCTACCTCATACCTAAACTTAACAACTACCTTACTAACTATTAATGAGCAGCAAATTAGGAGTTTATTGAGGCAAAGGTCATAGTTAATAGTGAGAATTAGTCCCCAAACTAAAGTGTGACCAAATTTTATGGCTGATTATTATAAAACAAATCAACATCAAATATAAAGGTATCTGTAAATTGAATAATTGAATAATGCTTTGCTGAAATATATATTCAAAAATATAGTCTGAAATATAGTGTGTGTGCCTGGTGTGTGTGTGTGTGTGTGTGTGTGTGTGCGCCTGCCTTGGGTGTGTGTGTGCCTGGGGTGTTTAAACAAAGACACTGGAGAAGGACAGCTGCAGGCAGCTGCCAGGACACCCAATCTCCCGTTTCCATCCCAAGCCTCCTCATCGCTTTATTACTCCATTTTTGGGCTTGCATAAATGCACAGCTCTCTGATGGGTCGCACACAGGAGCCTCGTCTGCTCGCACGCAAGAGTAGATCACTGAGAATTTTTAAACTTTTTTATTAATGGTCAGTATTTTCCCCATGGAAATTAATGTCTGGGGCAATTTCTGTTTTCCTTTCAAAATCCGTAGTCAACAAAATAGTATTATTTCTTCAACTGAATCAATTGAATTAAATTATCGGTAGGAACCAGTTCTCACTATTAACTAGTTGCTTATTAGCATGCATATCACTGACATATTGGCTGTTTATAAGTACTTATAAAGCACATATTAATGTCTTATTCTGACCATATTTTAGATCTCTTAATCCTACCTCATACCTAAACTTAACAACTACCTTACTAACTATTAATGAGCAGCAAATTAGGAGTTTATTGAGGCAAAGGTCATAGTTAATAGTGAGAATTAGTCCCCAAACTAAAGTGTGACCAAATTTTATGGCTGATTATTATAAAACAAATCAACATCAAATATAAAGGTATCTGTAAATTATATGCATGAATAATGCTTTGCTGAAATATATATTCAAAAATATAGTCTGAAATATAGTGTGTGTGCCTGGTGTGTGTGTGTGTGTGTGTGTGTGTGTGCGCCTGCCTTGGGTGTGTGTGTGCCTGTGGTGTGTGTGTGTGTGTGTGTGTGTGTGTGTGTGTGTGTGTGTGTGTGTTTCAGGCTCAGAGGCTGCTGTTGCAGGACGGCTCTTTAACTCACTTCACAGTGCAGAATCCCTCCGGTCTCCCCACCATCACGCTCGGCCTCCCCGCCAACACCAAGGTATCGCAATCAGCATGACAGCCTTGGTTTTTCTTACAGTCAGTGATCAGTAATCCCTTACTAGCATTGCACAACTTTAACAAACTACAGTTAAAATGATAATTAAGTACTTTACATGTGCTTTAGTTTGTTAGTCAACTCATCAAAATAAGTGTACTACTTTAAAATATGACAAAGGATTATAAAATATAATGATTGAAAATATACTTTAAAGTCAAATGTTTAATTTGACATTGCAAAGTGGTTCAAAAATAAAAAAAATTAGGTTAGATAAGAAAAGTTATAAACTTAAGTGGCCTTTTATTTCATTAATATTATATTATCTGCACTACCGTTTTTAAATATTCTTTTAAGGTTTGAAGTGCACTACAAGAGCACAATCAAGCACACTTGTTTTTCACAAGAGATGTTCCTTTTTGAATTTAAACGATAATACCCGAGTTTTATTTTTGATTCGTTTTTGAATTATTTTTCTGTTTATGAAAATAATGGTAATATGTAATAATGGCAAAATAATTCTGTTCCTAGATGATAATTGATAATAATATAATCCTTAGTTAAAAAGTAATATATTTAAAATACAATTATTTCATACAAAGTATAGTTCAGTTCAAACCTATTAATATATTTGCTGACATATCGCTCGAGACTTTGATTGATATAAAAATTATAAGTAAACTTTATTTGGAGTATCACTTGTGCACAAAGCACATTTCTTAATATTAAACCTAAAATGTGTTGCTGTTGATGAGGATTGTATAATCTTTGAATAATATCAGTCTTTAAATGCAAGATACAGTGGGGAAAAAAAGTATTTAGTCAGCCACCAATTGTGCAAGTTCTCCCACTTAAAAAGATGAGAGAGGCCTGTAATTTTCATCATAGGTATACCTCAACTATGAGAGACAAAATGAGAAAAAAAATCCAGAAAATCACATTGTAGGATTTTTTAATAATGTACATATTTAAATGTATTTTTAGTATACTTAGCATGAAATATATTTCGAATACATTTTAGTATATTTATTTTTCACTAGGGATATTCCAGCCTTTTTGATTAAACAATATTGTAATTGATTGAAAATTGTACAAAACTACATTGCTCCCATTATAACCAACAGCTCTGTCAACACTGCAAGGCGCAGAGCTTCTGTACTGGGCTGTAGGGTAGCGTTTCATGCTCTTGTCAACACTAAAAAAATACCACTTTGAATTTTAAAATCACCCACAAGTAAAGTGAGGGCCTCGGATAACATGAGTTTTATAAAATGTTTATTTATAAAACATTTATACAATTATTTATATAATATATAAAATAAAATAAATATAAAAATATTACGCAATATTAATATACTGTATTAAGATTAATATACTATACAAAATTAATTTACTGTATTTGTGATCAAATAAACAAAACCTTTGTGAGCGTAAGAGACTTCTTTCAAAAACCGTTTAGATTATGATCATATTTATTTTATTATTTATTATATTTATCAGATTGTATCTAAAATATCGAAAATATTAGTTATATTATTATTAAGAAAACAAAAACATAAACATAAAAAAACTGGACGGTCTAATATTTAAATACAAAATCAATATCAAAATGATTAATTACAGAAAGTATGCATTTATAATTCATGTACTATGTTCACTGAGTTCCTGATGTTATATTTAAGCCATTGTGGATCATGTTTATTTTCTATTTTGTGTGATGTAAATGATGTAAAGGATGTGGTATGATATTTTGATATCTAGCAGGAATATTATGCTTTCATCTCCTTCTGCTTTGATGAAAGTATAATCAGATTTGTCCCTGCTGTTTGTGATCAGTTCCAGGTCTGGGTCCGATTCCCCTGCGGTTCAGCGCGTCTGGTCCTCATAAGCCGCTGAGCCGGACCCGCTCCGAACCGCTGCCCCAGAGCCCCCGTGCGCTCCATCCTCACCTGCTCCAGCAGCAGCAGCACAGCGCGCAGCTCCTGGAGAGACTCAAGCAGCAGACTCACCTGGGCAAGGTCCAGATCACACCCCTCACGCCTCGCTTTACTCTAGGACAGGGAGGAGGATGCAATGATTTTTGACATATCAGAAGCAAATCTCTTTAGATGCTTGTAGTCTGGATAGAAAAAAAGCATGAAATCTGATTGATTTTACAGACCTCATCCAAAATGCATTCATATTTGATTTGAAATGCAATTAAAATCAGATATTGGAAATGCATTTTTTTTTTCGTTCAAGATCAAGTCATACAAGTTTGTGGATGTGTTTCCCAAATGGAAACCGATTGATCCGGATCTTTGTCTGTGTCCCGCAGCTCATGTCGAAGTCCAGCGAGAAGCCTCGTCTCCGGCAGATCCCGTCAGAGGACATGGACTCCGAGGAGGTGGGGCCGTCAGTGGGCGACGCCCATCAGGCCAGGGTGAGGGCGGAGTCTCAGAGAGAGCTGGAGAATCAAGAGGAGCAGCTCAACCTGCAACACGCCCTCATTCTCAACCAGGTTAGACACAAACCACCAGTCCTGAAGCTAACATGCTTGAGAGGAATAAGTCGTACACGTTTTGTTGTGCCACAAACGTCTGCCAAAATGTTATCACATATCATTTAAAAGTAAAAAAATGTAATAAATAAAAAAATAAAGAAAATGTAAATATTACAATAATTCTGTGCGGATGAAGGTCACAAAAACATTTTATTTAATGTTTATGAAAGAACCTGGTATATACCGAATAATACCGAAAAAAACAGCAAAATTGTGAAATAGTTTTACAATTTAAAATAAATGGTTTCTATTTGAGTATATTGTAAAATTAAATTTATTTCTGTGATCAAAGGCTGAATTTTCAGCATCATTACTCCAGTCTTCAGTGTCACATGATCTTCAGAAATCAGTCTAATATGCTGATTTGCTGCTCAAGAAACATTGCTGATTATGATCAATGTTGAAAACATTGCATGCTTGAGAGGAATAAGTCGTACACGTTTTGTTGTGCCACAAACGTCTGCCAAAATGTTATCACATATCATTTAAAAGTAAAAAAATGTAATAAATAAAAAAATAAAGAAAATGTAAATATTACAATAATTCTGTGCGGATGAAGGTCACAAAAACATTTTATTTAATGTTTATGAAAGAACCTGGTATATACCGAATAATACCGAAAAAAACAGCAAAATTGTGAAATAGTTTTACAATTTAAAATAAATGGTTTCTATTTGAGTATATTGTAAAATTAAATTTATTTCTGTGATCAAAGGCTGAATTTTCAGCATCATTACTCCAGTCTTCAGTGTCACATGATCTTCAGAAATCATTCTAATATGCTGATTTGCTGCTCAAGAAACATTGCTGATTATGATCAATGTTGAAAACATTATGCTGCCGAGGAAACTGATTTTTTTTTCTTCTGAATTTTAGAAATATTTTGTAATTTTATAAAGCTATTTACTGTCACTTTTGAACAATTTAATGCATCCTTGCTGAATAAAAGCATTAATTTCTTACCAAAAAATAAAAATAAACCTACTGATTACAAACTATTGAACGGTAGTATAAAGGATCTCAAAATCAAAACAAAAAAGTTATATTTTGTATAAAGAAAATAAACCATGCTTGTTTTTACCATTTATGATTTTTATCTTTTTTTTGTGACAACAATTAAGTATATTTTCCCTCCAGTTCTCATTTAAAGTAATGTGTATCAGTGTTTCATTTTTGAGTTTGTTTGAAATTCTCATTATTATTCATTATAATTCCCATTAGATGTTCGTTACTCTGATACAACAAAAAGGCAGTACAATAAGGCAGTTTTTTTATCATCTTATTTTATTTATGTTCATTTTAATCAACATAAGATACTATGAGGTGTAAATACCATTCATATATCATACACTGTATCATAATTTTGTCACATTACAGAAATTGCATGTAGGATCGATCGATAATTAATTAAAATAAATGTTATAATACATTATTTCAAGTAAATGTGATCTAACTGCACTATTTCATCCCTATGTAGTAATACTTCTCAAAAGTATTGTATGATATTTTATTTCAGACATTTATCTGATGTAGTTTTCGTAAAACATCCTGAAACGCTTTCTTTGCAGTCACGCCTGTGGGAAACGCAAAAGCAACTCCAGCACCTGCGCAGACAGACGGCTCACATGGAGACACTGGCGGTACCCATGATGCTCGGCGCCGCACACCGGCCGCTCTCTCGTACGCAGTCGTCTCCAGCCTCCACCTCGCTGACGCTGCCGGACAAAGCCTTGCCTCTCAGCACGGCACCGGAGCCGCCCCAGAGCCAGCCGCGCTTCACCACGGGTACACCGTCTCCACCAATCACACGCCGGTCTGCAGCAGATGATACACTCACACTGACTCAAACCTCAATGTGTGTGTGTGTGTGTGTGTGTGTGTGTGCAGGTCTGGTGTATGACTCCCAAATGCTGAAGCACCAGTGTGCGTGTGGAGACAACAGCAGCCACCCAGAGCATGCTGGGAGAATCCAGAGCATCTGGTCGCGCTTGCAGGAGAGGGGCCTCAGGGGCCAGTGTGAGGTATTTACAGCCTGCACTTCCCCTCTTTCCTAAAGGGGGCGCTGAATAATCTGTCCTACCATTATTCTCTTGAACACATCCACGTTAAAGGCACAGTTCAGTCCAAAATCAACATTCTGCCATCATTTATTCACCCTAATGTTGTAACAAACTTGCATGACTTTCTGCAGAGGATTGCAAAAGAATTTTGGGCCTTTATTTATAAAATGTATGTTAATTAGTCTCTGTAAAGCTTCAAAGTGACAAAATACACCATTAAAGTAGTTTATATCACGCATCCAATATATTCTGTATTATAGTCCACTATATCATAGTCTTCTGAAGCTGCGTGATAGATTAATGTGAGGAACAGACCGAAATTTAAGGGGATAGTTCACCAAAAAAGTTCTAAAAAAAATTCAAGTTTCATTTACACACGCTCAAGTTGTTCCAAACCTGTATGAGTTTTTTTTTCTTCTGTTGAGCACAGAAAAAGAGTGTTGGTGACGGTAGCCATTGACTTGCATAGTAATGGAAAAAAAATACTATGGAAGTCAATGTCTACTGTCAACTGTTTAGTTACCAACATTCTTCAGAATATCTTTTTTTTTTTTTTCTTTTTGTGTAAAAGAAGAAAGAAACTCATACGGTTTGGAACAAGTGGAGGGTGAGTAGCCTAAATTAAGACAATTGTCATTTTTGGGTGAACTATTCCTTTAAGTGGCTATTTGAAAATTAGTTCACAAAACAGGTCTGAATGAGTCCTTCACAAACCAGGTTAATTCAGTGTCATGAGCATCCAGGTCTCAATTAGGACTCTAAGCGGAAGTTTTAAAGGGTTAGTTCACCCAAAAATTTACTCATCCTCAAGCCATCCTAGATTTATATGACTCTCCTCTTTCAAACGAATACAATCGGAGTTATATTAAAAATTGTCCCGGCTCTTCCAAGCTTTATAATGGCTATGAATGGTGGTTGAGATTTTGAAGCCCAAAAATGGGCATCCATCCACCATAAAAAGTTGCTCCACATGGCTTTTGGGGGTTAATAAAGGCCTTCTGAAGTGAATCGATGCACTTGTGTAAGAATAATATCTATATTTAAAACTTTATAAGCCATAATCTTTAGCTTCTGCTAACTGTTGTGCACGCGTTCATTACGAGCGGATGACGTAAACTTTTCTTCCTTCCTTTTTTCCGAAAAATCATTCTCTTCTTTTTAATTTCTCAGTCCACATTCACTTTTATTATATTGAAAGAAGATATTCGAAAACCTCCCTGCTTTTAAAACTCCAATGCTCACAGCATGTTTGCACCATGAAAATCCTCTCTCATGCTGTTTTTGCTTCCTCTGCAGAGTATTCGGGGAAGGAAGGCCACTCTAGAGGAGTTACAGTCTGTCCACACCGAGCGTCACGTTCTGCTGTACGGCACCAATCCACTCAACCGCCTCAAACTGGACAATCGCAAGCTGGCCGGTAACACATCATCACACACACACACACACACACGATTCACATCTGATAGACTTGAGTCGACTGCAGCTTGGCCAGCACAACACCTCATTTTTCAAAGCAAAGGAATGCCAACACACGAATATAAAGTTACAGTCTGTCCACACCGAGCGTCACGTTCTGCTGTACGGCACCAATCCACTCAACCGCCTCAAACTGGACAATCGCAAGCTGGCCGGTAACACATCATCACACACACACACACACACGATTCACATCTGATAGACTTGAGTCGACTGCAGCTTGGCCAGCACAACACCTCATTTTTCAAAGCAAAGGAATGCCAACACACGAATATAAGCGACTTTCAAAATGACTAAAGGGTTGGAAATGTCGAGCTGCGAATGCGAGAATGATAGTTAATCTGCTTGACGTCACTCTGTCTCCAACAGGCATACTGTCACAGCGGATGTTCGTCATGCTGCCCTGTGGGGGAGTCGGGGTAAGTGAAAACACACACACACACACACACACTCCATAACTTGGTAATAACCCTGCAAGAAACATGTTAGATTGGAAATTAAGTAGACATGCATGATATGTTGGTGGCCAGTTTATTACTTGTTGATAATTGGGAAAATTTTAATTAGTGCTGTCAAACGATTAATTGCGATTAATCGCATCTGAAATAAGCGGTTTTTTTTACATAATATATGAGTGTGTACTGTGTATATTTATTATGTGTATATATAAATACACACACACATGCATGTAAATATTTAAGAAAAATATGTTATGTTTATATATAAAATATATGTATATAATATAAATATATAAATACATGTAAACATTTTCAAAATATATACGGTATGTGTGTGTATTTATATAAACATAATAAATAAACATGGTACACATACAATATGTTATGTTTATATATGAAATATATATATATATATATATATATATATATATATATATATATATATAAAATATAAGAATATGAATATATAAATGTATAAACATGTAAATATTTTCAAAATATATACTGTATGTGTGTGTGTTTATATATACATAATAAATATACACAGTACACACACTATATTATGTAATCAAAAACTTTTATTTCGGATGCGATTAATCGCGATTAATCGTTTGACAGCACTAATATAATTGTTATTATCGATATGGAAAGTGGAATTACAGCAGTTTTAGCAAAGAATGTTACAGTATTTTCATTTTTGGGCAGGTGCAGTAACCTGTCTCATGAATTAGTATGTGCGTATGAGCATGACGCGGAAACATTTGACTACATTTTATTTTGATGGTCCATGTTCGACACTATTTACTATAACTACATACAGTAAGTAACTTTCCAACAACATGTCAACTACCTCTCATTAATTTGTAACTACATGTCAGCTAACTCTCATTAGAGTATTATAAGACTGTTAGAGTTTGTAGAATCCGTTGACAAGTACTTGCAGACTTACTTGCAGTCAGTAGAATGTCTGTTGGTGGATCATCAAATAAAGTGTTAGCAGATATTATGCAGACAGTCTACTCATACTCTAATGACTTCTGCTAGTTGACATGTAGTTGCAAAGTTACTGATAGTTAGTAGAATGACTAAAGTAGACTATCAAAATGAAGTATTACCACATATGTTCTTTTTCGCCAAGTTTGCATCTTGTGTGCTCTGTGAAGGTTTAATTCAAGACCCACGTGTCATTTTAAGTTATAAGTAATAATAGACCTTGAGGTAACACATTAGTTTAGGGACCAATTCTCACTGTTAACTAGTTGCTTATTAGCATGCATATTACTAACGTATTAGCTGTTTATTAGTACTTATAAAGCACATATTAATGCCTTATTCTGCATGATCATATTTTAGATCCCTTAATCCTACCCCATACCTAAACTTAACTACCTTACTAACTATTAATAAGCAATTAGGAGTTTATTGAGGCAAATAAGGTAATAGTTAATAGTTAGTTAACAGTGAAAATTGGTCCCCAACTGAAGTGCACACAGACCATTTCACTTATTCTGTTTATGTTTTAAGAAGTAATAAGTATAAGTAAAAAAATGTGACAAAAACAATCACTGCTAAATGCTTTCTCACATACAAATGCTTACTATAGTTTTTGAGTTAAAGAAATATTATTTTATTGTTATAGTCAATTTAGGGTACATCTATTTGATGTTTTATTATCAACATATTTCATAAATTGAAAGGGATATAATGCAAAAAACACTGTTTATTGGACATTGTTATCTGCCCATATGCAAAAAATTTTAAAAGGATAATTCACCCAATAAATGAGAAACCTGTCTAAATTTACTCACCCTCATATTGATCCAAACCCATGAAACTTTTGTTCTTTTTCAAACGCAAATGAAAATATTTGTAATATTCTCAATCTATTGGAAGTCTATGCAACCAAAACTTTAACACTTTAAAATTACAACCAAAAAAATGCAAAAGCAATCCTCATTACTTAGACAGTTTAAACATAGACTTTTCACATCCATTGCTCAACACGCATGCATAAAGCTCAACAGATATGGTAAACAGAAGCTCATCCGTACATGTCTGATTCAAAAGAATAAACCTCATTGGTTCTCACACATCGAAGAATCACGATTGAGCTTCTGTTTACCATATTTGATGTGCTCTATGTATGTACTTGACGAGTGTTTATATGAATAAAAGCCTAAATTAAATCTGTTAATTTAAGTAAAGTGGTTGTGTTTCATCAAAATACTTGGCTTAAACCGCTCTATTCATATTGATTACTTTTGCAATGTCTTTATGAACTTTTTGAAGCATCAAAGTTGTGGTTTCATGGACTTTCAGTGGAGGAACAACTGGGCAAAAACTGGACTAAATGGTGACCCAGGATCAATCTTGATGCGCATGTATGTGTGGCTGAAGTACATGACGCCATAGAGTGCCCCATTTGTAATTTTAGGTTTAAGAACAGTGATCATGACATTTGTGGCCAATAAGTTCCCTCAAAGCAAGCCCACATTGACACCTGCTCTAGAAGAAAACACTGGCTGACAGTCTATATGGCAAAAGTGTGCTCGCCGGTCCCATCTGTGACAGATCTGAGGTCAGAGAGCTCTGATCCCAGCGCAGTCTATCCGGGCAGAACCCCGGCTGAAAATTTGGAGAAAATGTTGAAAACTTCACTCAGACGATCAAGCTCAGAGCAGGTCCTTGTGGAATGATTGGAACAATATGTGCCATGAAGGATAAAAGAAATTCCAGCCCTCTCATTGTTCACGGTGCCAAACCACAAGCAATGCAAGTTTGGAAAAAAAAAAAAAAAAAAAGGATGAGGGAATATGAAAGAGAAAATAGAGAAGGAAGATGTGGGGAGCAGGGCAACAAACAAAAGGGAGAGAGGGGAATGTATAACCTCATTCTTTCTTCTCATGGCCACCCCGTACTCTCCTGCTGCTTATGAATGCAGTTTTATAGTGTAATGATGGTCTCTTTTCTCTTTCTAGTGCTGGTTACTAAAGTAAGCATTACTATTGCTACCACTCAGAGTCGGGGGTTTGTTCAAATCACATGTATTAAGTTCATCCTGCACCGTTGAATTATACCTCAAATCGATTTACGATTTTCACTTGGCGGCTGATAAAATGCATATTAAAACCTATACCTATAGTCTTCTAAACCTATAAAATCCTATAGACTTGCACTGAAGAAATATTTGTGTGAAAATGTGGCTGTTTTATCAGTTTTGGAGCACTCAGCTTCCCATTTAAAGGCATAATTCACCCAAAAATGAAATTTTGTTATCATTTTCTCACCCTCAAGTTGTTCCAAACCTGTATGAGTTTCTTTCTTCTATTGAACACAAAAGAAGATATTTTGAAAAATGTTGGTAACCAAATAGTTAATGGTAGCCAATGTGAAATTTCAGAACATATGATTCCCAGTGTGTGCAGATTACTGAGTGCTCTGTTCGAGCGTTTACTTTTATTTATGCTTTTCATCAACTTTGTGAAAAATACTTAAATACTGAGTTACAGATGTCTAAAAGTACAAAAGTACAAAACTGTTTATGTTATTGATTTTTAAGTTTTTAATGAAAACATCTCAATATTTTAGCAAACATTATGTAAAAATAAATACAGAGTTCTGGCATGAAACTCTAGATGGCGCAGTCCGATAGGCCGAACTCAATCTGACCTAATGACATCATTATCACATGGCACAGCTGATTGGTTCTCTCCTGTATCGGTAGCCAATGAGCTCGCTGCTCAACATTCAGATATATGACTAGTGCTTGCCGTAGCAGTTGCAGCTTGCATCAGAAACCCTCCGCCTTCCCCAGCTCCACCTGTATAGATCTGCTACGAGGTGATTCATGTATGTTATATTTGCAGCAGCAATATTTCTTACATGCTCACAGCAGCATGTTGTGGATTCTGAAAGATCAGATTGCACAAGTGTGTGCAAAAAGATCTGTTTTGTGCCAGTGTGTGATTAAAAACTTTGAAATGTAGCTATGCAACTACCCACAACAACTAAGAAACCATCTAAAATTGCCCTAGCAACCAATCAGAACACCCTAGCAACTGCATTTAAACACCCTTGCGTCTAGTACATTTCAAAAGTTTGGGGTCATTCTGATTTGTTTTTAATAATTAATACTTGTATCCGTCAAGGCATTAAATTAAACAGAAGTAAATAAATAAATAAATAAAGACATTATAATGTCACAAAAGATTTCTGTGTCAAATTAATGCTGTTCCTTTCAACTTTATATTTATCAAAGAATCCTATTACGGTTTCCACAAGAATATTAATCAGCACAGCTGTTGATAATAATAAATGAAACATCAAATGTTTTTTGAGCAGAAAATTTGCATATCAGAATGATTTCTGAAGGATCATGTGACACTGAAGACTGGAGTAATGATGCTGGAAATTCAGCTTTACATCACAGCAATAAATTAGATTTTTAAATATACTAAATTGGAAAACAGGTATTTTAAATTGAAATAATATTTCACAATATTACTGTTTTTACTGTATTTTTTATCAAATAAATGCAACCTTTAAAAACATAAAAAAAAACATATAAACTAGCGAAAAATATAACATTTTAGGCATGATAATATGAATAACCTACAAGCCGGTGTATCGATGAGAGGCCATGTTTATGGCAATATGGAGACCACACACAAAGAATATTTAAACATACCATTAGAATGACACATAACAGGAAATCCATTTATAGTTTCGGTCACTCCAGCCTCTTTCTTTTATTGTATTCTTGAAATGTAGTTTATGTTCTGTAATTTGTAACACACACTTCGCCTTGTGGATGCTTGCAACAAAAATAAGCATCTAAATACTTTAGCACACATGAGTGATCTTTATACAAATATGGTTGGATAAACATGTTTCGTCATAATTCTCCAGCGTTACCATCTGTTTGAAAGCATACAGCTGGTTATTCGTTCATTTGAATAGGATTAAATGCACATAAATCACTGGAGCAAAGCAGAGTGGTTGCATCTAAGTGGATTAAATGACTGAAAATCTGCAAAGGGGTAATTAAATGTAACAAATAATGTAAAAATTTATCATATTTTGGAAAACTTTGGATCAAACTTTGAAATTGCCTTAATCTTTTAAACAACTGAGAGATATTGAATCACCTCAATTTCTGCGAGGGAAGAACAAATTTATACTCGAGTGCACTGTGTATTAGGTATTTTATCGTCTTTGACAGACAGCATGTTATCAGGCCGCTCTTTTATTTTTCTTCTTTGAAAGCAATGGTGTAGTCAAAACATCTGCTAGTGTGGGTTTTCCAGGAAATGCACGTAGTCTCGTAAATACTACCGTATATTGTGCATGTTATTTTTTGACAGACATTGATATTATGATTCAAATGATGTGGATATGGACCGTAAGTTAATAATTATTTATTTCTTAGCCTGTGGCAAGTATTCAGTGAAGTGATCGATGCCAATGTGAGTGTTATGTTGATGTTTTTAGTTCTAATATGTGACCCTGGAGCACAAAAGCAGTCTTAAATCGCTGGGGTATATTTGTAGCAATAGCCAACAATACATTGTATGGGTCAAAATTATTGATTTTTCTTTTATGCCAAAAATCATTAGGATATTAAGTAAAGAACTTGTTCCATGAAGATAGTTTGTAAATTCCCTACCATAAATATATCAAAACTTAATTTTTGATTAGTAATATGCATTGCTAAGAACTTCATTTGGACAACTTTAATGGCGATTTTCTCAATATTTTTCTTTTCTTTTTTGCACCCTCAGATTCCAGATTTTCAAATAGGCCAAATATTGTTCTATTCCTAACAAACCATACATCAATGGAAAGCTTATTTATTCAGCTTTCAGATGATGCATAAATCTCAATTTTGAAAAATTGACCCTTATGACTGGTTTTGTGGTCCAGGGTGACATATACGTGAAGGTGAACTATATGAGTGTTATAAAACATGCTGGAGATGTTCGAAATGCCTTTTTGAGTAGTTCATTATACACATTTTACGGAATGAAGTTGACATGTTTGTTAGTCAAAAATGTTGCATTTAGCTGTTGCAAATTCGTTGACTTTTGAAAAGTTCATTTCTTTTTACCAGAAAAGGAGTGGTTTTGATGAACAAATTTGTTTTTATTGTCCCTTATAACAAAATATATTTTATATGATTATACTTTAGCAGTTTGGACTCCTATAAATAAATCAACAGATTTTTAGGCTTCGCCTATGCTATTTGCTGAGCATGCTTGTATTTCGACAGGTGGACAATGACACCATCTGGAACGAGATGCACACGTCCACAGCGTCCCGCCTGGCAGCCGGGAGTGTGACAGAGCTGGCCTTCAGAGTGGCTAAAGGAGAGCTTAAGGTCTGTGCAAAACAATATCCACAACACTGTTGGTCAAATGCTGCTTCTTAGATCAAATGAGTACAGAATAACTGACAGTGAAACATTGTGCTACTGATAATTAATGCATTCATTTTCATTAATTCAGTGGTCCACATGTACATATACACTCATGTATCTTAGCAGCAGCTTGTGACGTGACATGACACGTGACATGGGATATGTGGCCAAGTATGGTGACCCATACTCAGAATTAGTGCTCTGCATTTACCCATCCAAAGTGCGCACACACAGCAATGAACACACACCCGGAGCAGTGGGCAGCCATTTATGCTGGGGGTTCGGTGCCTTGCTCAAGGGCACTTCAGTCGTGGTATTGAAGGGCACAAGGGCACCTCAGTCGTGGTATCGCTGTACATTCACTCCCCCCACCTACAATCTCTGCCGGTACGAGACTCGAACCCACAACCTTTGGGTTATGAGTCCGACTCTCTAACCATTAGGCCACGACTTCCCAAATGAATTGTCTGTAGCACTGCCAGCAAAGGAACATTCAACCTTGTTTACCCCTAAACAGTTCATAATACTATCTTAAGGGTATATATTACTTCTCTAAGGTACTAATATGCACCTTTTATGGGTAGATATGGTACAAAGCTGTCCTTTTAAAGGTACTGCCCAGTACTTTTCAGGTGTGCAGCAACTTTCTTACACAACTGGTTAAGGATCTTACTAAGAAACAGCCCAATCTGATGTTACTAGAACTGAAACAAACCCTGAACTCTGTCATAGCTGTGCACAGAGTTGATGAAGCTACTTTGAAACTGTAGCTTAAGAAACTACAAAATACTTATCATTTAGAATAGACCTTTTTTATCAAAAATAGTCAGCTGCAAAGTTACCATCAACATTACAACAAGAAAAAGAAAGCATTAAAATGTCAGTAGCCTAAACATTTCAGTGTAAGGGTCAAAATGAATCACTGAATCATTTATGTGACCAGTGAAACCCTGCAAACAAACTGATTCACTAAATGATTCAAACTTCAGTATGTATGAGGACAGAGTGGCTTTATTTCCTCAGCTTGCTCTGCTGTAAAGCTGCATGAGAAATGCAGTGTGATTTAGCGTTTTGTCACGCTATACTTCAACTTGTTGGAAAAAGTAGCTTGTTGCTATTTTGACTCACTACTTTCAATAAAACTGGTCTACTGTCGTGCTATCAGCTGCGCACCAACACTGGCTGTGCAGTTATAGAAAATGCAATATTATGCGTGTTCACGTTGCATTGAAATTACCATAATTACAAGATGACAACTCTGAGATAATTACTTCCTTAGGCACAGAACTTAAGCTCCAGAGTGAAATGCTTTGCATTAATTTACCTCTCACGATGCACTGAAAAAAGAAACCACACCAACTGGTGTATAGACTGGCTATAGTAAAACAGCATATCAAACAGAAGTATGTGTAGCATTTTGGTAAAATATTACATGAAATTAAGTCTTCTAGAACTATTTATTATAATTCTGACATGAAACAAATGCATCTTCAGTCAAAACTCTTGGACCATGTGTCAACCAATCAGAATCAAGTACTCGTTTCCTTCAGATGGTCTCTGTAATTACAGCTATTTTGACTCACTACTTTCAATAAAACTGGTCTACTGTCGTGCTATCAGCTGCGCACCAACACTGGCTGTGCAGTTATAGAAAATGCAATATTATGCGTGTTCACGTTGCATTGAAATTACCATAATTACAAGATGACAACTCTGAGATAATTACTTCCTTAGGCACAGAACTTAAGCTCCAGAGTGAAATGCTTTGCATTAATTTACCTCTCACGATGCACTGAAAAAAGAAACCACACCAACTGGTGTATAGACTGGCTATAGTAAAACAGCATATCAAACAGAAGTATGTGTAGCATTTTGGTAAAATATTACATGAAATGAGTCTTCTAGAACTATTTATTATAATTCTGACATGAAACAAATGCATCTTCAGTCAAAACTCTTGGACCATGTGTCAACCAATCAGAATCAAGTACTCGTTTCCTTCAGAGGGTCTCTGTAATTACCGTTGCGTCAAATAAAATTTAACCAAGTAGCAAACCGACCAGATCAAGCTGATTAAGACGTGGAAAACTGTAACGACCATAAAAGAATAGTTCAATCACTAGAGTCCCCTGCTGGTAATTAAACTTAATGAAGGTTATAGGGGATGTTTCAGGGAAAGGCTTTATTGCTTTAACTGAAAGCGGAGGCCCGCTTGTTGAAGCAGTTTGGTGAAAACATGGTTTCTGTGTAAGAGGCGACTGGGAAATGTGGAGTTAATGACATGTTGGTTTCAATGTTTCAGAACGGCTTTGCTGTGGTTAGGCCACCAGGACATCACGCAGACCCGTCAAACCCCATGTAAGTCTGCCTATTACATTCAGAACTGCCTCTGTACATTATTTTTTCGAGTTTAAGGATGTGCGTCTAATGGTGGTTGCAGGTTCGAGCCTGGCCTGCGTCACGTTTCGATCACCTTTTCCTTCTATCTCTCTTGCTGCGTGACTTTAAAATAAAGTTGTTTAGATCTAAATGTTTAAAAATTGTTTTTAATTAAATACATTTTAATTAAATAAATTAATAATCCTTATAAATATAAGCACTAGGTGGTTGGTAATATAGAGTTATTTTTATGATCATTGAGACTAATATTAGTTTCAAAGCTAATCTTAATTTTATGTTTTCTGCTTTCCTCTTAGTTTTAGTTAAAGTTTTGTTGTAGTTTTGCCCTTTTTTATAGGGAATAGTTTTTATTCATTTTTATTTCAGTTTTAGTTGTAGTTATTTTAGTACATGTAGTGAAAATGAGAAATGTTGCCTTGGAAAGGTTTTTTTTTTAAATTGGTAACACTTTAGTATAGAGACCAATTCTCACTATTAACTAGTTGCTTATTAGTGTAACAAATTAAGTCCACTGAAGGCGAGCGTAGTGAAGAACCCAAGTGCAGTTTATTTACAGGTGATCCAAACAATAATCCAAACAGACGAGGCATAACACACTAGACTCACCAACAGCGGGTTACAACATCAATACACGACAAGGCACAATGGGAACATGATGGTTACTTATAGCAGACAAGGAGGGTCACATGACATGAACAAACCAATGGGAAACAAGACACATGACTAAGACTACCAATCAGAACATGACACAATGAACAGAGGAACCAATAGCATAAAGACAAGAGGGCACGGGAAGCATGACACTAACAGCATAAAACAATTACAAAATAAAAGACATGAAGACATGAACATGAAACAAAACCCAAACACCAAACCTCACATTACAATTAGCATGCCTATTATTAACATATTGGCTGTTTATTAATTAATACTTCTAAAGCACTTATTCTGCATGACCATATTCTACATTCTTAATCCTACTCAAATTTAACAACTACCTTACTAATTATTAATAAGCATCAAATTAGGATTTTATTGAAGCACAAGTCGTAGTTAATGGTTTGTTAATAGCGAGAACTGGACCTTAAAATAAAGTGTGACCATTTTATTTTATTTCACGTTTATTTTTTATAAAGAAAAATGTAATGGTTTTAGTTTTAGTTCACTAGAATAATCCTGTATAGAGTATGTTGTGCATGTGTGTGTGGCTCTGTTTAGTGTGGTCAAGAAGTGAAATTCTTCTTCTTGTACATGTGAGTTGATGGCATGTTTTGAGCTGTGTGTTTGTGTGACGTGGGTGTTGTGTTTGCACATGTGGTGTGTGTGTGTGTGTGTGTGTGTGTGTGTGTGTGCAGCGTCAGCACGCCTGTCTGTGTGTGTGTGGATATTTATGGCTTGATAATGAAGGTTTGGAGGGAGCGGGAGGAAAGACACTGATTTATTTCAGCAGTTATTGGCCTGCTGAGTTCGCTCTTTCCAAATTTCTCAGCGTTTCACCTTGCTCCCTTACTTCCCAGTGCATATCTAATCATCCACTGGAAGTTTCCACATGTTTATTATTTGTGTATATGGACAGTATTTAAATGCTTTTAGATTACTTCAAGAAGTTATAGTCAAAAATACTAACAGCAGACCTGCACATCCGCTGAGTTCAGTTGCGTGAGAAATAGTGTTTGCTTACTACATAGTTTTGTTGTTCCGTTTCCAAATCCTCTGGCATTTAATGTGGTTGGATGCCTCACTTTATCTCTTTCTCTCTCTCTCTCAGGGGTTTTTGTTTTTTCAACTCGGTGGCGATTGCTGCTAAGCAGCTCCAGCAGAAGCTCAGCGCCAGTAAAATCCTCATCGTTGATTGGGTGAGAGCTCTAAACTCGGCTCATTTTAGTTCTAGGGATGCGAATTCTTGTAGAAACCAATAAGCACTTAATTAGTTTCATGTCATGGCCAATAACTGATATGATGGCTGAGACTTGAAAACCATACTATTATGTCTGTTCAATTTACACTATCCCTGTTATGCAAATTAAAACAATAATGCTGCTATCAAGAGTTTATTAGTTAATGCAGCACAACAGTGCTGACAATAGAGAACAATTTATTTCAATTATATATCCAATAGTGGTAGATTACATACAGTATATCGGCAAAAAACAACAACTAATATTCTCTTATAACCAATATATCACCAATGCACCTGTGTATAGTATAGTGTATAATTGGCTGTCAATGCTAAATGATTACTAAAAAGCTCTGCAGTTATTCTGGCATGTTTAGGTGAAGCCTATTTCAACATATTGTTCTAATGAATCAATTGAACTGATGTGAATCTGAGTTACTAAACTGTATTGGTTACCAAGCTGAATTGATTGAGTTTATCAGTCACTGAATCAAATCACTTCCAGATTTTGGTCTTTTTTCGTCCTAATAGACCAGATACGAAGGTAATGCTAATGTTAACTGAACAACATCCAAAATGCTACCATTAAAAGCTAACAAGTGTTAAAGTAACCTGATTATGTTTCATCAATCACGCAGGATGTTCATCATGGCAACGGCACCCAGGAAATCTTCTACAACGACCCCAGCGTCCTCTACATCTCTCTCCATCGCTATGATAATGGAAACTTCTTCCCCGGGAGTGGTGGAGCAGCAGAGGTTAGTACGCAGAGATTATTGATTATAACATACGAGCAAATACAACACTTCTTGGTTTGTTTATTGCTGTGAAACTCTATAAGCTCACAAAAAACTCAAGGGTTTCAATGTGTCACTCTTGCGCAACTGTGTTCCAAACCAGAACTGGCTGCACCATGGCCTTTAGCACAAAAGGATCAGCGTAAGAGGAGGGTTTTCAGTGTTTAACAGCAGTGCTGTGTTTGATTTGTCCCAGGTGGGTTCTGGTGCCGGTGAGGGCTTCAATGTTAATGTGGCGTGGACCGGTGGTCTTGAACCTCCCATGGGCGATGCTGAGTACCTGGCTGCCTTCAGGTATTATTTTCACTTGGTTAATTTGCTGGTTTAAACTAACTGAGGGGAACAATTCAACAGGGACAGTACTGAGTGGAAACCAGGGGTGTCCAATCCTGCTCCTTGAGGGGCAACGTCCTGCAGAGTTTAGCTCCAACACACTTTTTCTGGAAGTTTCTAGTCATCCCGAAGACCTTGATTTGCTGGTTCAGGTGTGTTTTATTAGAGTTGGAGATAAACTCTACAGGACAGGAGCAGGACTGGACATCCCTGATATAAACTATGCCGTATCTGAATATGTGACCCTGGACCACAAAACCAGTCATAAGGGTCGATTTCTAGAAATTGAGATTTATACATCATCTGAAAGCTGAATAAATACGCTCTCCATTGATGTATGGTTTGTTAGGATAGGATAATATTTGGTCGAGATACAACTATTTGCAATAGGTGCAAAAAAATCTAAATACTGAGAAAATCGCCTTTAAAGTTGTCCAAATGAAGTTCTTATCAATGCATATTATTAATCAAAAATTAAGTTTTGATATAATTACGGTAGGAAATTTACTAAATATTTTCATGGAACATGATCTTTACTTAATATCCTAATGATTTTTTGGCATAAAAGAAAAATCGATAATTTTGACCCTTACAATGTATTGTTGGCTGATGTTACAAATATACCCCAGCGACTTAAGACTGGTTTTGTGCTCCAGGGTCACATATATGAATCCATTTTCACTTAAATAAATGCTTTTGGTTTCATAACAAGTGAAGAAATTGGAAGATACTGTGATTGTTTAATGAAATGAATTTGCTGACTGAAGAGTTTGGATAAGGTCTCGTAATAATATACAAATCTGCGATGCACCTAAATTCCGGCAACCAAAAATATTCAGCCAAGCAGCAAAAAATACATTTTTGGTTTTTGGAGGGTCGAAACCATTGAACAAAATTGTGCCATTTAATGAGCATGTTTCAATTGTGTCAGTGTCTGTAGAAATCCCTGGTTGCCCATCCCTGGTCTAGACACTAATATAATTTTAATTATCTTTGTAGTTATTATTCTTGGGATGAACAGACCTATGAAAGGGATAGTTCACCCAAAAATTAAAATTTTGTTATCATTTACCCTCATGTCGCTCCAAACCTGTATGAGTTTCTTATGTTGAAGACAAAAGACTGTTTTTTTAACAACGCTGGTAATCAAACAGTTGATGGTCCCCATAGTATTTATTTCCCTACTATGGAAGTCAACGTGTCCAACAACTGTTTGGTTCATTTTTGGGTGAACTATAACTTTAAAGGGATAGTTCACCTTCAGTTGCTAGTCCCCATTGACTTGCATAGTGTTTTCCCCCCAATGGAGACCAGCGAATGAAGGTAAACTATCCCTTTAATTTTAACTAGTCTAAGCTGTTCATGCAACCGGTTTGATTTAGTAAATATTTTCTTCACCAGAGGAAATAATGCCCTGAGCAGCATACCAAGATTAATTACCCAATTGCTCACATTTTAGTTTCGGTTTTTGGCTAAAGGCAAACTTTAATTTTGGTTTCAGTGTTTCTAATAAAAAATTCTGCATATCTGTTATGGTCTTGTTAGTTTCCACACCTCATTTCGCAAACATAATAATTTGGCATGAATCCTTATGGTCTGTGGTTGTGCTAGTGTTTCGTGCACGCAACGATAACCGAAAACGCTGTCTTGGGAGTAAGCTGGTGTTAAGTGTTGTGTCAAGGACACAATGATGTTAGCAAACCCAGCAACCCTTCTATTCAAGGATCTTCCGTGGTCCAGATGTTGAACCACAACCCCACCACAATGCACTTTATATGTCTTGTAAAGTCCTTACATGGCCCGATTATCATCAGGTCAGAGTTCAGGAAGAAGCATTTGACCTTCCATCATGTTTCGCCAAAGAACCTGGTCTTCTTCATATGGGCGTCCTTCATTATTGCATTGGTTTCTCTCCTGCGTTCTTGTGCACTAGTGTTTGCACTGAGACCTTTGGGATTTTGTCAGGAATTGGACGCCCGATCATATTGTGATCACTCTTTTAAGTTGGACTTCCCCCTCCGCCGTCTGCCAACCTGCATCAGTCAAGGTGTTTATTGTAGTCTGAAACGCTTGCAGGGCTTCAAATGATTCCCAGCTTTTTCATTGTGTTGGGATCAAACTCGAGCTTGGCCACTTCCACATGCCACCGGTGGGTGGTTTTATTAAACGTTTTTAGCATTTTTTGAAGGAAGCCTGCTTCGGGATTTTGGTTTCAGTCCAGGGAGGCATTGTTAACCACACGCCAACCAGGATCCCTGTGTGAAATTGGGTGGGCGTCTAAAAAGACCTTTAAGATCTTTCAGGACTGAACGTTTTGGGAATGTTCTGCCTCTAACCAGCCTGTCTCTCTTTGACTTCCTGTGTCTTGTATACTCTTTCTCGTCCTTTTATTGGTCTTTAATAAATGCTGCGCTCTCTCTCTTTCGTTTTTAGCATTTTTTGAAGGAAGCCTGCTTCGGGATTTTGGTTTCGGTCCAGGGAGGCATTGTTAACCACACGCCAACCAGGATCCCTGTGTGAAAGTGGGTGGGCGTCTAAAAAGACCTTTAAGATCTTTCAGGACTGAACGTTTTTGGAATGTTCTGCCTCTAACCAGCCTGTCTCTCTTTGACTTCCTGTGTCTTGTATACTCTTTCTCGTCCTTTTATTGGTCTTTAATAAATGCTGCGCTCTCTCTCTTTCCCTCCACCCAAACTAAAACTGTTCCTCTCCACACAGGGGAGCGTGGGTAGTTTTATTGGTCTAGAGGGGAGGCGGAGTTGGTTACAACGGTGAGGGTAGGCGGAGAGGGGGGAGTAGTGGAGGATCCTGGGTAATTAAGGCAAATGGCTCCCAGATGGCGGGCTGTCAGTGACGTGAGGAGAACGACAAGCTCCAAATGGGAACCAGATGCAGCGGCGGTCGCTTTGAACTCGCCGGTGATGCGCTCAAGAGGCGAAATCGCTGGCAGGGCTGGCGTCCTCCGAGCACAAGAATGAGGGAGACGAGGAAAAAGAGGAAGGAAGAGAGAGCGAGAGACGGTCATTAACAGAACCTAATTCAAACACTTTAGTCACTGGGATTGTCACACTGTGCTTCGGCCAGCTTCATTTTTGTAAAATTTGTCAAATAGAAGAGGAACGCCACTAGACTTTTCCTTCTTTTGAGTCGTCTGGCCAAGTTTTTCCACATTTTTGGAAAGGCTTTGATCAGAACTGATGTTAAACTGACAAAACAATCATTTCCAAAATCGACTTCTTAAAGATAATTAAAGATAAATAGTTTTGTCCGAGTATTGTTAATAGAAAATGTGAATATTTATTATTAGTGTATTTTATAATACCAGCATTCATAAAAAAAATATATAATAAGTATTTGCGTCATAATAAATATTTGAGTTGCCTCAGAAGACCCCTTAAAAGAATAGTTCATGGAAAAATTGGTAACACTTTAGTATAGTAAATTTACTATTAACTAGTTGCTTATTAGCATGCCTATTATTAACATATTGGCTGTTTATTAGTATAAAGCACATATTCTGCATGAGCATTTTCTACATCTCTAATCCTACCCAATACCTAAACTTAACAACCACCTTACTAACTATTAATAAGCAGCACATTAGGAGTTTATTGAGGCAAAAGTCATAGTTAATGGTTTGTTAATGGCGAGAAATGGACCTTAAAATAAAATGTGAAAAATTAAAATGACAATTAATTTACTGTGCCCCGTGACTTTATTTTGTGGAACACAAGAGGAGATGTTTTAGGGAATGTAGTTTGGTTGTTTTTTCATGTAATTGCAATGAATTTTCAAGCTTCAAAAAAGACCCAAAAGCACCATAAAGTATCATAAATGCAGTTCATGTGAAGCCAGAAATGGACTGCCCCCCGGCTTTGGTTGGCAAGATCAACAGAGAAGTAAGAACGAATCATTCTCGTGAGTTGGATTGTTTTGATGAATCAGATGATTCACGTTCATAACAGCAGTCCGAATGATACGATTCATTTTTCGAGTTCAACTCACTAGGGATCCAGGTGCAGTGAGGAAGATTATCTATAAAAAATAATCTAAATTTCCTTATTCCATGGAAGAAAGAAGGTCAGTTGGGTTTGGAATGACACGAGTATGAGGAAATTATAGCTATTAACCAGCCATTTAACTATGGTTTAAAATTGTGCATAAAGATTTTGAAAGAAAATGCAGTCTTATAAGTGCAGATTTAACATTAACCAAATGTTTTTTTGTATGCATTGTTCTGATGTTTAGGACGGTGGTGATGCCCATTGCTCAGGAGTTTTCCCCAGACGTCGTGTTGGTCTCTTCAGGGTTTGACGCTGCAGAAGGACACCCTGCTCCTTTGGGAGGATACAAAGTCACAGCTAAATGTAGGATATTTCTTGAAATATTATCTTGCGTATGAAATATAAGCTCTTATAAACAGCTTCCAATTGAATTGAATTTATATACATTTGTAAACAGTCTCAGAAAATGTACTGTGATGCTAATGTTGTCATTGGTCTCTCCGCAGGTTTCGGCTTCTTGACTCGGCAGTTGATGGCGTTAGCAGGAGGACGCGTGGTTCTAGCATTAGAGGGAGGTCACGACCTCACAGCCATATGTGATGCTTCTGAGGCCTGTGTCAGCGCTCTGCTGGGACTGGAGGTCAGATTTCATGCAGAAGCAAACACCATCACAAGAATTCATTTATTATCGCTTTATAAGGCTGTTATCATTGCTGGTAACAAATAATCAGCACTGTTGTTATGTAAGGGTGTTAACATGACTTTTCTGGCAAAGTCTCATACGACGTGCTCTTTGTTTTAAAGGAAAAACAAAACCCCCCTTTTTCATCTTGTTTTCTCTTAGGAGCTTCTTCCTGAGTCGACTCTCCTCCAGACGCCCAGTGCCAACGCAGTGCTTTCGCTCCAGAGAGTGCTACAAATACAGAGTGAGTGTCTCGCACTCCTCTAGTCCCAGTCTGCCTCTAATTATTCTGAAATGCACTGGCTTCCTGGTAGCACACATTTGTTGTAATTAATTATAATCATGATCGTCGTTGTTTCACCACATGGTTCCTGCTGAGCCAAAATATTCCTATAAAAACAATAATATGGGATGCACTACGTGGCGTACACTACCTCTCTCATGCTTTCTGTGTGCTACTGACAGACATCTATTTACAGTTTTCAACATTGTTGTTGGTTAGACTTGTAATTGACATTTTAAAACCTGTATGACTTTGTTTTTCAGTTGAACACAAAAAGAAATGCAGAATGTCCAAGCTGCTTTTTTCTGACCATAAAAGTGTACAATGATTCATACAGTTGAGGTCCAATAAGCACATGTTTTATTTGTATTATTATTTTAAATGTAGTCCTGTATGAGTTCATACAATATCTGACCAAAAAGTCACCATTATCTTTCCCTCTGCTATAGTTCTTCTCCAACAACATGGAAACCTCATTGGCTCTTGCACATCAAGCTAGCACGTTTGAGCTTCTGTTTACCATATTTGATGTGCTCTATGTGTGTGCATTGAACAATGTTTATATGTGAAGAAAAGCCTAAATTAAATCTGTTCAGCTTATAAAGTGATCCAGAAGACTTGGCTTAAGGATTACTTTTACAATGTCTTTATGAACTTTTGAACACGTCAAAGATCTGGTTACGTGGATTTCAATGGAGGGACAGAAATCTCTCAGGTTTCATTAAAAATGTTTTAGTTTGGGTTTCCAAATATCTTATAGGTTTGGAACGACATGAAAATGAGAAAATAATGACAGAATTGTCCTTTTTGAGAGTACTGTCCATATTCTTCACATAAAGGCTTCAGAATACAGCACACAAGTTGTATGCAGTATTTTGCAATTGCTTTTTTTATATATTTTTTATTTTATGGAAATGAGCGGCTTTGACGTTCTGCAAAAGATCTATTTTTGTTATTCATTTCAGATAGAAAGTCATGCAGGTTTGGAATGACATAAGGAATGGTAAATTATGTCACAATTTATTCCTGTCTGTTAATTCTGAGATTTCTGTCTCAGGTCAGTATTGGTCGTCACTGAAGCCGTTGATGGGCACAGTGGGGATGTCGTTTCTGGGTGCCCAGAGGAAAGACTGTGAGGAAACGGACACAGTGAATGCGATGGCATCCCTCTCCGTGGGGGTCTTGACCAACAAAAGGTGAGATCTGATGAAGAAATTGTGCTAAATGCAATTCATACTATTTGCCACTACTCTATAGTCCTCAATCCTGTTCTGTTTTGTACATAATTTCTTCTGTAATTTTCAGTGTGACCAAGGTTATTATTGTTAACTAAAACTATTAAAACATTTGTATTAAAGGGGTCATCGGATGCCCATTTTCCACAAGTTGATATGACTCTTTAGGGTCTTAATGGAAAGTCTATACCATACTTTGGTTAAAATTTCTCAATGGTAGAGTAAAACAACACCCTTTTACCCTGTCAAAAACAGCTCTGTTCACAGTGACCCGTTTCAGTGCATGTCCCTTTAAATGCTAATGAGCTCTGCTCGCCCCGCCCCTCTCTAAAATACTAAAATATGAGTATATGACAGCTGCATTCTACAACCGAATTTACTCTAATTAAGGTGTTTTTGCAGAAAGGGGCTAATCTGTAATCCAATTCATGTTGATGTTTTCACAGGTGCTTGTTTCTCTTTTAATCTAAGCTGGGCTTCAGTGCTTTTGTTGCATTCTTGAGCATAAAAACCATATGCTGGTTGTTCGATGCTAAACATAAACCTCATTTTTTTTACAGTCTTGCTGATGAACCCATGGAGCACGACGAAGACTCCCTTTAAACCAGGTCTTTACACGTCTGAAACTGTCCAGCATCAAATGGAGCTCCACACCATGTGAACGAGCCGTGCCTCAGGGGGCGTGACTTCCTCATCATGGCCCCTCCCCCAAGACACCACCTCAACACTGACCACCAGCGCAGCGCGGCTAAGCTAACAACCCGCAGCCACAGTTCTGCCGGGGCTCTGGGATCCACGTCATCTTCTCCATTCACGTACCACACAAACAAACACACTAGGACGCATGAGTGTGTTTTTAACATTCACTAAAAGAATGCGCCGAAGGACTCCAGTCGCTCAGATATTCACCTCCGGTGCCTCAAAAGAGACTATTTACTTTAGCTGGAGATGCGAAAGCAGAGTTGCAGGAACGGTTGAGGATTATTGAACCTTTTTTAAAGGCAGCCCACTTGGACTGTGCTGGGAGAAAATGAGGGGTTTCCTTGCACCTGGCAACCACAAAGTGGCTTCACTCTATGATGTCATTACTATTAACCAATTTAACCACTAAAGAAGAAGAAAAAGAAGAAAACGATCTCGACAACTGTGGGTTTTATCAATCGTATTTTTTTTTTTTTTTGCACTGTGCATTCCATAATGTGAACCGTGAAATTTTCCAAACCTCTGGGAAAAGAAAGATCTAATTCTCTATCTAGTTTTACGCTTAACGTTCTTTTTTTTTTCCCAAAGTGAAGCAAAAAACAGTTGCATTCTTGTCAAGTTCAGTTACATTCTACCTGCATTCCCAGCATGAAGGCTGTAAACTTGAATACTTCGAAATACTTATTTTGTGTATCTGATTTAACGCCTCATGTTTTTAAAGGCCAGAGGGACAAGCCAGCTATGAGCAAGTTTATTGCACACACCCACCCACCCCAAAAAACACACATATATGCCCATATTTCTGTGCACACATCGCATCCTTATGACCACTGTACAGTTAATATTGTGGACACAGGAAGTGCTTAAGCTTTCCCTAGACTAACTGTAACGCAAAGTAGCTCAGTCTCTTTTTAGACCAAACTAATTTGAATATGATGTCTATATGTGTGTGTGCGTGTGTATCTATCAATCATATCTTTTATCTGTTCTGTACTCACAATCAAACCTCGACTGACCACAAGCAAAAGCGCAAAACGACATTTGAATGGGCTCTCGCGGCCACTTTAATAGCAGCGTGTGAAATTCTTTTATAACACAATTGTCTGTCGTTTTCACGGATCTTTGTTGTTTTGGACGAGGGAAATTACCAGCCTGTTAACCTGTGGAGAAGACATGTCTCAAGTTGGTGCGCAGTTAATGATTTTCTTTCATTGCTGCGCACTTACTGGCGTTTTTTTTTAATTTTTTTACGAGGGATGCATTGTTTTTGGATGGCGTTCTGTTTTCCACAGCCTGCACATAGATGTCTAATTCACACCAGTTGTGTGGATGAAGTTTATGGTGATATTAAATATGTCTCTCAGCCACTGGGATTCACATTTACGCCATCATCAATAAACCGAAATTAATATCACACCAAAACGGACAGACCTCGTTAAATACTGTGCCACTCATCAGCATGTTCGGTTTCAAAAACCGTATCATTTCTAAACCAAAACCTGTCTAGTTGCGTAATCCTGATGGGCCAAACAGCCAAAAATAATGCGCTGGAAATAATGCTGTACCACATGCTGGATGGTCACCGGTCGGGACATTACATTTCACTAGTAGCACAGTTCATGGTGCTTGTTTGACTTTTGCGTTGTGCTTTTGGCTTAATGAACGCCCCGACGGCTCGCTTTCGCGTGTTACTCTGCACAACCCTTTACCTCTGCATTCACAACCAAATTCACACATTAACATGCTTTCCTGCGTTCACTACAAGAAACAATCGTGACCTGGCAAATTGCTGTTATTGCGAACATGTGGAATAAAAATAGAGGCATTCCTTGTGTGATTTTTCTGTAATGCTGCAGATACAAGTGCCCAGCACCTGCCCGACCAACAAGTCTTTAATTCATCCCTTTCTTGCCTTGTACCAAACCACTGTGGCTAGTTCTACGTTTGTATGATTCCATGTAAATAGCACCATCCATTTATCGACGTTTTGTGAGGTTTCATGAAGACCCTGGGTAGCCTTTGCCCATCAGACCCCCGTGAAGACCATTGTAAAATAGAGCAGATGCAGACGTTCACTCATTAATGAAGTCATAGCTAATCGCTCAGAACTAGCGGCGGTCTTGCTGCGTATTTATAGTACTTCAAACAGTGCACTTGCATTTCACCATCAACAAAACATGCCTGTTCATCTTCAGACAAATTGAAAACGACTTGGTTAGCGACAAATCGACAGCACTTAGTGACAGTTTCGTTGGGACTGTTGCTAAATACAGATTTTTGACATTCCGTTGCAGTTTGGACACTGATGTGCATCTTCCATACAGTTCTATTTTAGTGGTGTATTTTTACAATAGCTTTGTGCATTTGTACTGTTTTGATATACCTCTCAAAGCACTTGTATTCTCTCGTCTCTCCGAACTCTTTATGAAGTAAAACGGGGAGCGTGTGCTGTCGTCATAGCTCGTGTAAAAGCAAACCAGCGTCGTCTTAATTCTTCTGTCATTTATTCCCTTTTGCCTTCTTGTATGGACAATGTAAATAGTTTCCTACGACCAAAAGACTTCACCTACGTGCCTTGAAGTACTTTACCTGTCGACCCCACTAACTGGATCTGTTTAACAAAGCATAACAGAAATGCCATTTTCCAATCGTCCTTGTTTATTTCCCGTTTCTTTCATTTCTCTGTGTATAGAAAAGAATGTCTATTTTGTACTGTTTCTATCTTCCTAATTAAAAAGAAAAGCATTTTTTTGTTTGCCTGAATTTCATTCGGCTTTGTCATTTTTATGTGTACACTCTACTGCTTAAAATGTCTGAACATCAAATACCAGCGAGCTGAAAGAATTCAAATCAATTCGCGCACATCCATTTGTTTTCTATTAATTGAGAAACATTCACTCGGATCTACAGCATGCTGTTTTTATTTTAGCATAGCAATGCTGTTAGAAAAATATAAGATAACTATAGTCCCTGCTAGAAATGACTACAATGCCAGCATTTTCCACCAAAACACAGCTGCTGCTGTTGTTATTACTAACTTGTAAAACTTGGGAAAAGCCACTAAATTCTTCAAAATAAAAAAGCTTACTCTAAAAGCATCTCATACTGTTTAAAGATGCCATATTTTAAGTTTAACATTATGTATCTTTGTTTCAGTTGCGTTTACAGGGAAATTTCACCATCCTAAAACTACACGATGCCAGCTAAATATTTCCCAACTCTCGAAGTGCACAAAAATCAATACCATCGATAAGTCACACATTCACTAAAAGCCTCTTCTTCATAAATGCTAACATCAAACTGATATATATCATCAAACTGAATTAGTGTGTGTATTTTTGTGTGTCGTATGGTGTGTATCTCTTACACACACACACACACACACACACCTCTGTAATACTCCACAACTGTTTCCAATCATTAGGTTCCTGCATGTCTAGGGCCGGTCGCCTCTGATTGCATGACACTGGATACGAGATCCCGTGAAGGGCAGAGGGAGGGCGATTTACACCCGTGGGCTAAAGGAGAGTCCTCTCCACCTTTCCCTGCTTCCTGTTCACTCACTTTTCTTTTCCTTTAATGATTTTTCTTTGTTCCCTGTTATCTTTAACGGCAACACATGGTCCCTGGTTCTCAGACTGAGATCACGGTGGAAAATGTGAAATAAGTGCATATTTGTTTTACATACGTATTAATTACATAGTTATTACATATGTACTAACATGTAAATAGTTATACATAAATGTAGTTATAAATATAGAAAAGAATATGTATATATATGCATGACCAACACAAAATTATGCAGACAATAACTTTATAAAACGTCTGTTTTTTTGTTGTTGTTGTTGTTGTTGAAAAGATACTTACATGCAGTACATTTAAATGTACTTGTGGTTAAGGCAATACATACTATGAAATCCAAAGAAGAGGCTACACCTAGGCCTGCGTATGATAATATCAGCAGTGGAATATCACAAGCTGGAAGTCGTATTTAGGTAAACTTGACAAGTTAGTGTTTACAATAAACATAGATCACATGAAATGAATACATCTGCCAATGGGAATATGAATAATATCTGTTCTTCTGCTAAGGTGTGTATAAGTGGAAACTCCAGAATCTTAATTAAGAGGAGTTTCGCATTTGTGTTGTATTCTCAAAATGGCTATTATCTCACAAATTCTTGAGACAGCATGTTTTTTTATGCATTTTAATTTTCATACCATTAACCTGGGGTTGAAATCGTTATTATTATTATTTTTTTCCCATTTAAACCAATTGACATATGTTTGAAGTTACAAATTCCTATTGCTGAATACCTGGACAAATCTGAAAGTGTTAGCATTTAGTCCATTATAAATGAGTACAACATTTAGATCAGATTATTTCTGCAAAGAATTATTAAATTGATAATAAAGTCATTAATATCTAACACATTGTAAAAAATATCCTCCCTCAGACAGTTATCATAAAAGTAATCTGTCTTGTCTGTTTTTTTTTTTGTCTGTTTTTTTGTATATTTCTGTTGTACAATGAATAAATAAATAAATATACAAACAGTTTGCTTCTAATGCCTGAAGATCTTTAACCAGATATTGAGTCTATCATACAGTCAAGATAAAAATTAGCACAATACTTGGAAAATTATTATGCACCATTGAACAAACTTTTCATTTATATATGTGCATTTATTTTATTTTATTCATTTTTTTGTTTTGGTTTCATTCTATTGAATTTGCTATTTAAATGTGATTCTGAAACAGGTTAACTGTTCATCAGACCAATGGCATCAGTTCAGCGGGTGCGAGCTACTCCAGGAGTTTATGCACCTCAGTTTTTGAGGAAAAACAATATTTGAGGGCAATTTTCTCTCAAAAACGGAGGTGCATTTGCTCTGATCAATGAGGTCTCAGTCAGTCACAAAAAAAAAACCTGTATTACTGTATAAGCAATTTTTGTAGACTTGTAGGTAAAAAAAATACAAACATTATCAAAAACGTTTTGGGAGGTTGTTATTCCATGTGCAAGTAAGCAAGTTTTAGTACAATGCGATAACATAAGCTTTTTTTTCAGAAAAAAAAACGGGCCAAAATGACGGGAACATGAGGTTTAATAAAGCAGAAAGTAAAAATTCATGCACATGCGTGACAAGACTAAGAACCTTCATAGCAAGACTTGAGACCAGATACGAGTCCCAAGATTGAATTTTATGTACCTTATTACTCTATTATGAATACAAATGAGATCACATTGGATTAATTTAATTTAAAATCTGTAGAAACACCTTGGCCTATCAGTATGTTTAGGTGGAACAAAAAATGGAAACAATGTCAAAAATCTACTTTCATGGTCCGACAGTCTTTTATTTATTTATTTATTTATTTAAAGGGGTCATAGGATGCCCATTTTCCACAAGTTGATATGATTCTTTAGGATCTTAATGAAAAGTCTGTAACATAGTTTGGTTAAAATTTCTTAATGGTAGTGTAAAAAACAACTAATTTACCCTGTCAAAAACAGCTCTTTTCAGAGCAAGCTGTTTTGTAGCATTTTCCTTTAAATGTTAATGAGCTATGCCGACCCCGCCCCTCTCTTCCAAGCTGC